GACGGGCGGCGACGAGGCGGCGACGGGGCGGCGAGGGCGACCACATAGCCGCCATACCTACACGCAGGCGCAGACGACGGGCGACGATGAGGCGGCGACGGGGCGGCGACGGCGACCACATGGCCGCCATACCGACGCGCAGGCCAAGTTCCTTCGACCAGAAGTAAGAATCCTTAATTGCAAGCACTGTTTCGGGGATACTTGTTTTTTTGTTTCGTTGGCCCCATGTATTCTTGAGAGTCTGTGACCTCGGATTGCCGCTTCCTGCGATGACTGCATGTTACCTTGCTGGGCCGACGTGTCGTGCGACATGGTTGCGAACGAGCGAACTCTTTTCGTCCGACTCGGTACCCCAAGTTTACGTCCCCTGGAGGGAGGAGGCGAGGTGTACGGGCTTACCTGCTCCTGCCAGGGGGGCGGCAAGAGTGGCGGCCTCGGGTACCCGAGCACCCGGAGCAGGCAGACTTCTGCGACTTCCGCGGCAGATTCGCATCCCAGGGCGTCGTCGGACGATCAGTCTGAGACCGCCCAGTGGAGCAGGCATGGAGGAAGAGGAGGAAGAGAAGGAGGAGGAGGAGGAGGAGGAGGAGGAGGAGGAGGAGGAGGAGGAGGAGGAGGAGGAAGGGGAGGGGGAGGGGGAGGGGGAGGGGGAGGGGGAGGGGGAGGGGGAGTTTGAGGAGGAGGAGGAGGCGGAGAGGAGGAGGAGGAGGAGGAGGAGGAGGGAGGAGGAGGAGGAGGAGGAGGAGGAGGAGGAGGAGGAGGAGGAGGAGGAGGAGGAGGAGAGAGGAGGAGGAGAAGGCTGGTTCCTCGGATTCCTGGTGGGATCCCTGAGTGCATGTTCAGACCCTACCAGCATTCACGGGAACTTCATACCATATTTCTTTGATGGGTCCTTCCAAATTCTGCTCAAATTCTGCTTGCCCTGCCCGTCTTGCTGGCCTGCGGTGGGCACTTATCACACAGCAGCACGGGCTTCCCTACAAAGAAATTCCCGCAATGTGTACAACATAGCACACCTCGGTAGACCATCAGGTCATGGGAGGGATCGCACAAGGGGAAGTCGGGGTGATCGCCATCGGACCTCGCAGGGCGCCACGTCTTGCTCCCAGCATCCGCGGGAGCCACGACAGCAGGGTCTTGGCAGGCCTCTGGCCAAAATTCACCCAAGCGTCCTCTCAAGGGCGTAAAACGTCGAAGACACACAGTGCACTTAAAAGAGACTCCACGCTTCACAACATCATGCCCTTGCTCAGCGAGTCGTCCTCGCCTTATTGCGCTACTACGTATCCGAGACTTCTCTGTATGCTGGTGTTCACGACCTAGCCTATCTTCACGAACACAACCACACGTCAACGACAAAGGACAATTGATAGCTAGGAGCCGCTTAAACACAAGACGGCAGGAAAAGTCAGTCCGCTCGACATATTTCACTAGCTCGGGATCTAAAGCTTCCCATTCGGAAGCCGCCCCAGCAAACACATCCGCCACATTGTTAACCACGAGCCCATGGGGAGTGAGAGCAGCGTGGTCATCAATCTGCTGCCGCGTGGGGTGGCTGTTGACCCAGCTGCAGTCCACTACTTCAGCCCTGTCTCGAAGATGATCCAATACTTGTTGCCATCCAGCATCTTGGACGAGTCTATTATAGCACCTGGTCGTTGGAACGCGTCCACGATTGGCCGATTATCAACATAAATTTTCACGCGGCCTCTAGTATGCGTCAGAAGACTAACAAGCGCATGAAGTTCAGCGCGAATGGAACTCTGGACACCGAGACCCACGGTAGGAAGGGTACCCAAAAAGGATTCCTCGCACATCACAGGAGTCGTCGCTCACAGGCACCAGGGCCCATCCACACCTCCTAAGTCTCCAGTCAAGAGCATGTTTCCCGCCAGACCCATCAACCAAGCACGCCACAAACGATTGTCGTTCCATTCCTTTTAGCGTCCAGGAAAAAAACCCAGGCCCAGACACGACCGGACGCAGGGGGGATATCGTCGGTGGTCCACCCGCGAGGAACAAGACCGCGGGTCCACAATCATTCAGCACAATCGAGGTCCACACCTTCAAGAGCAGTCTTAGTGGCTTCAATGGCGGGGTCATCTAAATGGGCGTTGTAGCTACAACCCCAGAACCGATGGAGTGGCTTTACCTCTTCAGCCCCGCACCTATGGCATATGCCATTGCTAACATAGCCCGGATCCTGGAGACGCGCCTCAGGCCATTGGCCTCCAAAGACTAAGTTGTTCAGCAATGCCGCGCCTTCATTGTAGCCTTGCTTCAGCAGGTCAGCTCGAAACCGTTTGTGCACCGTGAAGTCCACAACTGCCAGGAGGCCTCGGCCACAAACATGTCGAGGTGGGAATTGGTCTACGCAAGTATCTTGCCCCCCCCGGCTCTTGGCATACATACGACGCAGGGTGAGGCGTTTCGTGTTAGGTCTTTCAGAGGCCACAGTTTTGGGGGGAGAGCGGCAAGGAAGAGGTAGACCTGGGCAGATCTGAGCAGGGAACGCATTGAACAGGTCGGCAGGGTGCTGCGCGGCCTCCAACGGCAGCATGGCGATGTCGCGCGGCGACCAGCTGTCGACTCCTGGCATTTTCAGGACACGGGACTTGTGGGGGCCCTGCACCATGGGAGAGGGGGGGAGCGCGGCCCGCACTTCAGGCGGTGAAAGAATCTCTTGCGGTCCAGCTCGGTTCAAGCAGCAATGCCAGGATCCAGCTTGGCTCCACTGGTGATGCTGGGAGAAATTTGGTCCAGATGCATGCTCAAATTTTGCTGGCTCATCGCGCTTCAGGACCTCATTCGAAATGATCCCCAAAAGGAAGCCGGACATGCAGAGCGGCACGGGTTTTGAGGCCAGACTTGCGGTCAGAATCGTCTGCGTGCACGCACGGGTGGATGGCTCGGGAGACCACCGCGAGGTCGATCGTTCTTCCCTCGCCTTTTAGCGCGCGCGAAGGCTGCGCTGCTGGGCTCCAGGGCGCAACCATCCACAAGCTCGCAGAAGCTGAACTCGTGGAGTTCAGGAGGGACAACACATACAATGAATCGTCGATTCCACAGAAAATAGGGGAACACATGGGAAGGGGGGGGGAAGACAAAAACTCAGAAAATCTGTAAAAGATGGGGAATCCTGTTATTCGTGTCTATTTAGTTGTGTGTCCCAGGGCCCCTTCATCAGAATCATCCGGAAGTGTGACATGAGGTATCAACCACGCGAAGGATGTCGACAATCTCTTGCAGCTACTTGATGTTGCGACCAGCGAGGCCCAGCCCCGAAGTCGAGTGCAGCACTCCAGCAGCCAGATAGAACCCACTCCTCCGACTCGAGGAGCAGCCCGACTCCCGCCGGGGCCCGAGTGGTGCGCCCCGTGCGGGGCCGCCCTCGGATACAGTTTGCAGCTGGCCACCTTCCGGGCAGCAGCGCCCACGCCTCCGTGCCGGCCACCGCCGGGGGGGGAGAGCCGGCCGGACGTGCGGGCGCCAACCGATTTCAGGGCAATTCTTCTTCACAGCAGCCGCCTGCTGGGGGCCTCGATGGTGTCCAGTAACAAGAACAGGTCAAACAAGCCAGCTGCATGAGCAACCTCGTGCTTCGTCAGCGTTGGACCAGTTCGTTGCGCTACAGAATTTCAGGTTGATGCACTCAGTGGACGGGCTAGAGCTGTTGGGGGGCCACCTCCCGGGGTCAGCGAGCCGAGCAGAACTAGAAACCCACGAACCCTCGGCGCCAACAGACATTTTAAGCCGCTTCGCCGCCTTCGCCTCGAACCTCTTCGAAAGGAGGGCTTCACCCTCTTCAAGTCAGATGCGCTGACGGACTCAGCGGGGCGCTTCCGAAGCGCTTGCAACTCATCGCGATCTTCAGGGCTGGGCATTTCTTTATCTCCATTGTCGGGAACAGCCTGTTCAGTAGCTTGTAGTAGGTTACGTGCAGCAGCCTGGGCAGCCCGCAACGTCTGTCACTCGCTGAAGGGGGGCGAGTCTGGTCAGCAACCTCGCGCAGGCCATTGTCATCCGTGGTGTGGATGGTGGACACTTGGGTCGAACCGAGGCGCCCCAGCTTCAGCACCAGGAGCAACAGGCCCAGCTGGAGCACCGTGGGGATGTGGGCCAGTGGGCTAGGTCCACCAACAGGTCGATTTACTTCACCACCTTCAGGGCCGCGTGCTGCTGGGCGCTCCGTAGCGCGCGCTGCAGTGGCGGCAGCCTTCTTTTCGTCCTTGAATTGGTTATCATTGAAATTGTTCTGCTTGTCCTTGGCGGTGTTGCTCCCTGGTCTTCTCGAGCTCGCTCGAGGCCTCGTGGAAAGCGGTCTCAGCCAGAGCCACATTCTGTTTTGCCTTCGCCAGGGCCTCCGCTGCCACCAGGGCGTCCAGCTCATCGCCAGCGGGGAGCGCAGGGGGCGGCTGGGGAGGACGTGCAGCAGCAAGTGGCTTTCGAAATTCAGAAAATTGGGCATGGGCAGCACGGGCTTCTTCAGCGAGCCCTTCAGATACATTGCTGACAGCTCCATCACCGAACTCCCAAAGCCGACACTTACTGCACACATTGTAGCTGTAGTGCTTGGCGGAAGAGCTCTGGGAGCCACGCGACTTCCAGCCACCTCCACCTTGATCACGGAAAGAACGTTGGCCAGCACGCCAGCCAGCATTGCTCCACCCGCGAGGCGCCATCGCATGCACCGCTGCGGGGAGAACGGAAGCTCCTCCAGGAGCTCACAAAAGCAAAATGGACACCACTGTTGGCCGCGCCTGAACTGAGGCTTGGAAGTTAAGGAGCAGTCCCCTTCAGCCCAAATGGCTACGGTGAGGAGCAGGAGGAGGAGGAGGAGGAGGAGGAGGAGGAGGAGGAGGAGGAGAAGGGGGAGGAGGAGATGGAGGCAGAGAAGTGGGGAGGAGGAGGAGGAGGAGGAGGAGGAAGGAGGGAGGAGGGAGGAGCAGGAGGAGGAGCAGGAGGAGGAGAGGAGGAGGAGGAGGAGGAGGAGGAGTGGTAGGAGGAGTGCTAGGAGGAGTGGTAGGAGGAATGGGAGGAGGAGGAGGAGGAGGAGGAGGAGGAGGAGGAGGAGGAGAGGGAGGAGGGGTGGAGGAAGAGAAGAAGAACGAGGAAGAGTAAGAGGAAGAGGAGGAAGGAGCGAGACAAAAAGATACAAAATTGCGTATTCCGTTTCCTATATTTGTGCAAGCTTGGGGGGTGGGACCCCGCCCCCACCCCAAAACCGACCCCCCAGGATCCGGGGTTTCCGGGACCCCCGGACATCCTTGCCAAAGGTGCCCCGGCTCGTCCGGAACTTCCAGGGCGCCTAGCCAGATCTTGCCAGCAGACCCCAAGCGATCAGAGCGGTGATCAGAGAGGCCGAAGAGAGACCCAAGATAGCACAAGAGCGCTCCAAGAAGGACCCAGATGGCCTCCAGAGGCCCCCAAGACGGCCCAGGAGGCCCTCAACTGGACTTCCAGAACGCAGAAATCGCTTCACTCCCGTAGGGAAACTTTCAATTTCAGCATATTCGCTGGTCGGGTCTAGGCCGACAGTATCGCCCCAAGACGACCCCAAAAGCCCCCAAGAGAGCCTCTAGACGGCCTGGATGGCCCCACGACTGCCCAAGGAAGCTCCAAATGAGCCAAAAAGAGGCCCAACATGCCCCCAGAAGGCGCCCAAGAGAACCCCAAGAAGGCACGAGAGGCCCCCCAAAGACCACGGGAGGCCACCAGGAGGGCCTACGCACCCCAAGACTGCCCAAGGAAGCCCCAAAGGAGCCAAAAAGAAGCCCAAGAGGCCCTCAGAAGGTGCCCAAGAGAAACCCGAGAAGGCACGGGGGGCCCCCAGAAAGGCCATGGGAGGCCACTAGGAGGGCATACGTAGCCCCCGTAATGTTTCTAGAGGATCCAAGCTCCCTAACACGGCCCAAAGTGGCCCCAGGGCGGCTCAACAGGGCGCCAAGCCGGCCCGCCTGGGCTCCAACAAGACCCATCAAGACCCACACGGCGCTTTCCCTAAAATTGACCCGAATCTTGGGTTCGCAACCACATTTTGCGAACCCGGGATTCGGTCCATACCTTACGAATTATTCACGTTCGCGCTCCTTGTTGCGACCCGCTGCAACATGACATTCTCGGCTTGGCATGGCTTTGTATTTTGCAACATTGCTTGACATTGCGTCGGTTTGCTTAGCATTCCCTCCCCCTGCTCCTCTGGGCCCTCCTCCTCCTTTCCCCCATCTTTCTGCCGCTCCACCACTCGTACTCCCCCACATCCGATGCCTACCCTCGCTCCCCGACATTCCCTCTCCTATCCTTCGCCTTCCACCCAGGGCCTTTCGGGGGCTCCTGGAGGCCCTGGAAGGGCCAGGGACCGCCTGAACTTTCGAAGACTTCTGCAAACCACCACAGGGAAGGGGTCAAATTTCCACGGCCACTAGGGACGGCGCGAACGACCAACATATGCAAAGCCTCAAGGACCAAGGTACATGGCGCGAAGCGCCAATGCATTCTCATGTTACATATACACACATAACTGTTGGAGCTCCGCGCAGCTTTCTCGGATCGGCGCTAGGGGCCCCTGGCGGCGCCTCCGGCGCCTCCCCTGGCGCGCTCCGCGCGCGCCAGGGAGGGGGGGCTCAGCGCCGATCCAGGAAGCACGCGCGGGGCTCCGAAAGTTTATGTTGATGCAGTTTGGGCTCTTCCTCTAGGCAGATCTCCTTCGCAGACTCGCACCCCGACGCGTCGTCGGACGACCAGTCCGAGACCACCCAGTTCAGCAGGCATCGAGCGATGAGACATATGTGCGTACACCGATCCTGGCCAGGCCCATCCTGGGCCCAGGATCGGTGCACATGCCTCCCTAGCCAAGCCACGAGGGCACGCTGTAGGTTCTCGCTGCGTTGATGCGGCGGCGACCCCAGCACGGACGTTCAAGGTTGAACGCCATTGGTGGCCCAGAACCGGCCGATATCGAATTACTTGCGTTATCGGGAAGCCGCAATTGTTCAAGATTGAAAGGTCCACGGGGTGTCAGAAACCGACGCCGACATCATTGCGATGCGAACCTGTCCTGTGCACCGATCTTGGGCCCAGGACGGGCCTGGCCAGGGTCAAAGTTCAAAGTTCAGCTTAAAAATGTCTATCGGCCTGACCAACCAGCTCGTCCAGCTCCTTATTGTCCTGCGCCTTCTCTGGTTGCTGCTCGTCCTCCTCTTCCTCCTCCTCCTCCTCCTGCTCCGCGTTGTGCTCCTGCTTGCGCTCCGCCTCCTCCTCCTCCTCCTTCTCCTCCTCCTTTCCCCCTCCCCCTCTCCCTCCTCCTCCTCCTCCTCCTCCTCCTCCTCCTCCTCCTCCTCCTCCTCCTCATCCGCCTTCTCCTCCGCCTCCTCCTCCTCCTCCTCAGCGCCGCTTGGCGCTGGATCCCTTCTCGAAGGCAGACCTCCCCGACAGCCCCGCAGCCCTGGGCGTCGGCGGACGGCCAGTACGGCACCGGCGAGCTGGGGTCGGGCGGCCAGGGGGACGACGTGGCGGGCCGCCCGAAGCGCAGGCTGCGTCGGGAGTCGAATTCTGTTTGGGAGTCGCCAGTGCTCCCAGAGGAGTCGAGCAGGGGAGCGTCGGGGGAGGAAAGACCACCCGGACGGGACAGTGGGCGTTTACGAAACGGCCCTGGGCGTGTACGACACATCCTTGCCCTGTTCGATTCCTTCCTGGGGTGCGTGTACTAAGCGGCCTCGCGTGTCGGGGTGGTTATTTTCGGGGTGGATGTTCTGCCCGCTGGATCGTCTACGGAGTTCATTTACGGTCGGACCGAGGTATAAGATCGAGGTTCATTCGGGGAGGGTACCTTTAATGTTCTTCGTGTCTGTTGGATGTGGTTGTGCACCCTGGAGTGATTTTATGGTTTGGGGTGTTTTGGCCGGCGGAGGGTCTCATGTTTTTGAAGAATGTTCTTATATCCTAGGTCCGACCGTAGGGGATCGACTACAGACTTGATTAACCGCAAAGTTGAATTTCCGTCGAAGTTACCAACAGAAATGTAGGATGATCCGGAGATTCACGGAACCCTTCTACATTTTTTTGATTCGACGGATACTCAATGTAGGGGTACATAGATTTTGTAGTCGATCCCCCATTCGGAGGATCCCAAACCCCCAAATTTTCAAGATGGAGGTCCGATTTCCAGTCTGGAGGCTTTCTCTTGGGATTCTGAAGGCTGCTTTGCTTACAGAGTGTAGGTTCTCCGGCCTCCAAGCTGTGCGTTATGTTCCCCCCTTCCACATCAGAACGTAACCCTCCCCCCCCCTCCAGGGCGTCCCCACCTCTGTCGCAGTGCGTCAGGGTGGGGGGCGGGGGCATTACGTCATGCCCCCTCCCTTCCCCTCCCCCTCCCCCCGATACCACCCGCTATCGCCGCGAACCAAGACATCCTCTCTGTTGCTGTGTCGGACATTCCGTTGGGTCGGAGCAGCGGTGCTCGTGCCCTTCCGAAGGCCGATCCAGGGGGGCATTGCATAGGTATGTGAGCGACGCAAGAGAGGGGGTCGTCTGTCTGCGCCGACACTGGCGCGTGAGCTGCCCACGTAAGTCGCGCGTAAGCGCCCTCGCTTCAAATGTGGCGTGCCGCGCTCGCAGCCCGCGTAAGCCGGAAGGACACAGTATCATCTCGCGCAAGACCCGCTTTCGATCGTCGCTCGTGTGCTGGTGGGAGTGCGCCAGCCGCACATTTGGGCAGGGCTCGACCTAAACGGTGGTTTGGCGATGTCATGGGCCGTTATCGTTTCGATGTCGTTTTGCAGCAAAGGCGGATTGGCGACAAAACGAGGGAAAACGATAACAAAGCGGAAATGAAAAGCATTGTTTTGGTTGAGCCTTGACCGTGCCATCTCGCGTAAGACCCGCTTTCGATCGTCGTTCGTGTGGTGGTGGGAGTGCGCCAGCCGTATACCTGGGGCCTGGGCTCGACCTGAACGGTGTTTGAGCGATCTCGAGGACCGTTTTCGTTTCGATTTCGTTCTGCAGCAAAGGCGGAACGATGACAACACGAGTGAAAAACGACAACAACACGAAGATGGAAAACACTGTTCAGTCGGCGTCACCCGAACATACTAGTACTCTGTGTGCGTCGCCCCCCCAGGGGCGGGGCGACGCGCGCATCGAGAAATCTTGTAGTATATGCGTCGTGGCGGGCGCCTTCTGGCCACGCCGTTCGGGAAACAAGATACTACAGGATCGGTATGCTAGATGTTCGGGTCGGATGCGCGCCTTCAAGGAGGACCTGAGATGAACTGCGTGTATTGGGAAGTCGAACCTGCTTCCAAAAAGGCTGCGTGTATTGGGAAGCCGAATCTGCTTCCCAAAAAACTGCGTGTATTGGGAAGTCGAACCTGCTCCCAAAAAACCAGCTTCCAGCTTCGACCTCCCGATGCACGCAGCTCGTCCCAGCATACCGCCGTGTCTCTGTGCGTCCCGTTTGGGGCGACCCCTGCACCCGGGACCTGCGCCGAGCCCCGACCGGCCGGCCCCCAGGCCCTCGGGGTCGGTGCGCACGCCTCCCTGGCGCCCCAAGCCAGGAAGCCAGGGGTGCCAGCCCTTTTGGCCTCCTCCTTCCTCCTCCTCCTCCTCCTCCTCCTCCTCCTCCTCCTCCTCCTCCTTCCTCCTCCTCCTCCTCCTCCACTTCCTCCACTTACTCCTCCTCCTCCTCCCTCCTCCTCTCCTCCTCCTCCTCCTCCTCCTCCTTCCTCCTCCCTTTCCCCTCCTCCTCCTCCTCCACTTCCTTCTCCTTACTCCACTTCCTCCTCCACTCCCTCCTCCTCCTCCTCCCTCCTCCTCATCCTCCTCCTCCTCCACTTCTTCTTCTCCTCCTCCTCCTCCTCCTCCTCCTCCTCCTCCTCCTCCTACACAGACCCCGCTGCTCTACAGCAATGGCATGCGTAGCATGAACTACAGAAGCTCCGCCCGGCCCGGATCCGTGCGGGTGTGCTCGGGACTCGAGAGACGGAGGTCAGTGCAAACGGGGGTCAGTCAGAGCCAGGATTGCATTGAACCGGGATTGGGTGCAGATCCTGCAGGATCCTGCAGGATTTGAGGATCCTGCAAGGCCTGACTGACCCGGGTTTGGATTGACCCAGGTCAGTAGATCCCCGATGTGTATAGTGGGCGTCTTCCGTCGTGTGTGCCATCAGTGGGAGGGAGGGCGGGGGGCACGGCCGCACAACGGGGGTCTGCGCAACGCTGCTGGACAGCTTGCAGGCACTTCGCCAAGGCCCAGAGTGCCACGGCGCACGGTGGTGTGTGCGAGATCAGCAGTGCCTCCGTCCCTCCCTGCCCCCTCCGGGAAGGGGAGCGGGGAGAAGGAAGAAGAGGAGGGAAAGGACGAGGAGGAGAGAAGGAGAGAAGGAGTGGATTGGGAGAGCGGACGGGGAGAGCTCTCCCCATCCACTCTCCCCTTAGGGGGGGAGGGAAGCGGAGGGACGAAGGGAAGCGTTGGTGGCACATATTCCCCAGGGGCCCCAAGACCTCCACAGTGGAGGAACGATTCCTCCCGCTTCGCCGGGCGCACGTCTGGACCACGTGCAGTCCAGTCGTTTTTCAGGGATTTCTGGGGGCCTCCTGGGGGCCTTTGGGAGGCTTCTTTGTGGGCCTCGTTGTGGCATCTGGTAGGCGGCGTCTTCGGTTTTCTTGGGGCGCTGTTGTGCAGTCTGGCCCCTTTGGAGGCTGTCTTGTGGGCCTATCGGGGTCGCCTTGGAGCCGTTTTGGGGTCGTCTTGGGCCGTCCTGAGGGCCTCTTGGACCAGTGGCGGAAGGATTCTTTGGCTTCCGCCGCACCACCGACCCCTACTTGGATGCCTCTCTTCCGAGTGGCGTTGGCGTAGCAGCGTCTTGGCGCCGTGCGCCCATCTGGGGAACCCACAGCCGCGATCAAAGGCAGCCCTGTGGGGTTCTTTGGGGGCCCTCTTGGCAAGCTCGCGGGGCCTGCTGGGGGCCTCTTGGGGCTCCCTCAGGGGCACGCGGAGGGTCTTTGATGGGCCATCGTGTGCGGGAGGGCCCCTGGGGCGCCCTTCGAGTTACCCCCCTTGGGCTCCTACCCCAGACCTCCTCGCGTTGTGAAAAGATTACGACGTAGGGTTTTTCGCTATTTTCAGCCTCCGGGGGCCCTTACCGGGCCTCGGGACTGTCAAAAAACAACTCAGGACGAGAAATTGGTCCTGGGGAAGGGGTCCAGACCTCTGGGGGTCGACGTTGTGAAAAAATCACGACGTCGGGGGTCTGGCACTGGTGCTCTCATGGAGATCGCGTGGGCAGTCTGGGGGTCCGGTTGGGCAATGCTCCGGCGGGACTTGCCTTTCCCAGTGGAGTTCCCTCTCGTTGGCGCGGAAGCATTCTCCATGCGTCAAAAAATAGGCGGGAGGATTGAACCCCCTGGAATAAACAGCTACGGGGGAGGGGGGGGCCGTCGCAAGTCTTGCGACGCTCTCGCCTTCATTCGCCGTGGCAAGAGAAATGGCCAAACTATTGTCGCGGCGGTGTATTGGAGCCCTGTGGCGCAAGCCGGTTTGGGGCCCCTCTTGGGGGCTTTTTGGGCGAGAGTAGGGGGAAGCGAAGGGAGGGAGGGAAGCGTCGGTGGTGCATGTGTCTCAACGGTCCCCAGACCCCCACGATGGAGGAACGACTCATCTCGCTCCGCGGCGTGCACGTCTGGAGCAGGTAAAGACTGGGCGTTGGGTGGTTTGCCCTCCTCCTTTGCCGCGCTGTTCTGCCGCGGCGTTCTGCCCGCCCCGGTGCGCTGCCAGCGCCGCGGAGGGCGGATGGTGCAACCCCCCGTTTCAGCGCCAGGGCGAGCTTACGAATATCCACGAGGGCAACGAGAATTCACCGCGTGCCAACAGAAGACAACGCCAAGTTCAGATTCCGTTGATCATCGCAACAACGCGCCATTCGTACCCGGTTCCGCGTGCCTCTTGGTAGTTTCTTGGGTGCGTTTGGAGGTTTCTTGGGGGCTCTTGGAGGCTTCTTGAGGGCCCCTGGGGGCCTCTTGGGGCTAGGAGTCTCTTGGGGACCTCTTGAGGCGCTCTTGCGCCGTCTGGCTCCCTGGGAGGCCGTCTTGATGGCCTCTCGGGGCCGCCTTGGGGCTTTCTTGGGGTCGTCCTGGGCCGTCTTGAAGGCCTCTTGAGCCGTCTTAGGGGGCCTCTTTGGGCATCTTGGGGCCCTTTTGGGCCGTCTTGGTGCCCTCCGGGGCTGTCTTGAGGCCATCTTGGAGGTTGCTTGGGCCGTCATGGGCCCCTTAGAGTCGAAAAAGGTGAGAACGCGAAAATCTCTAAAGCCCTAATGGCAATTATCCCAGAGCGACCCTACCTAGGAGTTGGAGCCCCGAGGAGAGCAATATTAGTAGTAACGGTAAACGCCGTCCTCCTCTTTCTCCTCATCGTCGCAGTTGTCGCAGTTTGCTTTTGCTTTTGCTTTGCTTTGCTTTGCGTTGCTTGTGCTTTGCTTTGCTGTTGCTGCTGTTGCTTTGCCTTTGATTTGATGCTATGCTATGCTATGCTGCGCTATGAAATGCTATGCTATGCTATGATATGCTGCGCTATGCTAGGGTATGCTAGGGTATGCTAGGGTATGCTAGGCTGCGCTATGTTATGCTATGTTATAACATGCTATGCTATGATATGAGATGCTGCGCTATGCTATGCTATGCTATGCTATGCTGCGCTATGCTATGTTATGCTATGATATGCTGCGCTATGATATGCTAGGCTATGCTATGATATGCTATGCTGCGCTATGCTATGCTATGTTATGCTATGTTGCGCTATGCTATGCTATGATACGCTATGCTGGGCTATGTTATGCTATGCTATGCTATGCTATGCTGCGCTATGCTGTGATATGCTATGCTATGCTATGATATGATATGCTGCGCTGTGCTATGCTAAGCTATGCTATGCTATGCTATTATATGCTGCGTTATGACATGCCATGCTATGCTGCGCTATGCTATGCTATGCTAGGCTATGCTATGTTAATGCGTCGCTGCGCTGAGCTGAGCTGAGCTAGGCTGGGCTAGGCTAAGCGAAGCGAAGCGAAGCTAAGCTAGTCTAGGCTCAGCTAAGCTGAGCTAAGCTAAGTCAAGCTAGGCTAAGCTAAGCTAGTCTAGGCTCAGCTAAGCTAAGCTAAGTTAAGCTAGGCTAAGCTAAGATGAGATAATCAACGCTAAGGGAGACGTAATTGGGGGAACCGCGGGGCGGATGCCGGGGGAACCGCCCGGGGCGTTCTACACTGCCCGGCCCCTTTAAGCCAAGAGAGTAAGAACCCTTCTAGGCAGAGCCTAGGTAGGGAATAAACTAAGCTAAGATGAGATAAGCAACGCTAAGCTAAGGGGACGCAACTGGGGGAACCGCGGGGCGGATGCCGGGGGAACCGCCCGGGGCGTTCTACACTGCCCGGCCCCTTTAAGCCAAGAGAGTAAGAACCCGTCCAGGCAGAGCCTAGGTAGGGAATCAATGTGGCCCTCTCGGGCCATCTTGGGGGCCTCTCGGGCCCTCTTGGGGTCATCTTCTGCCGTCTTGGGCCGTCTGGAGGCCATGTTGCGCCGTCTGGAGCTTGGGGGCCTCTTTGGAGCCTCTTGGGGCCGTCTTGGGGGCCTCTCGGGGCCGCCGCGGGGCTTCATTGGGCCGTCTTGTTGGACCGTCTTGTGGGCCTCTGGGGGTCATCATGGGGTGCTTCGGGGAAGTCTTCGTACCCTCTTGGGACATTTTGGGGCCATTTTGGAGGCTACTTGGGCCGTCATGGGCCTCCGAGAGTTCAAACATGCGAGAATTTTAAGATCGCTCAGAAACCGTGTGTAAATACAGTTTTTGGTATCGGGGGGCGCTCTGGAGGATTCCTTTGGGGCTCTCTCGGGCCATCTTGGGGGCGGCCTCTTGGGCCGTCTTGGGCCGTCTGGAGGCCACGTTGAGCCGTCTTGAGGCTCTCTTGGACCCTTAGGAAGCCCAATATTCCCAAATCATGTGTTTTCTTCTGTTTGGGTAGGTTGCCAAATGAGTTTGCAGTCGTGGCAACGGGCACCGCGGCGGCCGCCGACCGACCCCTTGGAAGCCTCGGGTGCCTCTCTTCCAGGGGGGGGCGCTGTCGTAGAGGCGTCTTGGCGCTGTGCTGTCATCCAGGAAGCTGGAGACCGTGCTCAAAAAGAGCCTCGTGGGGCTGTTTAGGGGTCATCTTATGTGGGAGGCACACTGGGGCCCGTTCGAGTTCCCCCTCTTTGGCTGCCCTCATGGGGGTCCCTTTGGCAGTCTGGGGTTGCTGCTGGGCCAGCTTTGGCCCTGTCAGGCCGGTTTGAGGACCCTCTTGGGGGCCTGCAGGGCGGGGGGGAGGGAAGCGGAGGGAGGGAGGGAGGGAGGAAGGAAGCAGAGGTGGTGCATCTATCCCAGGCGGTCCCAAACCTCCACACTGGACTAGCGATTTCAGACGCGGAGGAAGCAGCCTCCGGAGTGGAGGTCAGCGCCTCCCCTCTAGAGGTGCTCGAGCCTTCCTTTCTTTTGGCACCCGCAGGCTGGTGGTCAGGAATACGTTCCTCACCGTGGTCGACGACGAGGAAGCCCCAACTTTGGGCCGAGTCAAGTCCGCGCCGACGCTGGCCCTCTGCCCCTCGATGGGTCTGGCCAGGACCGGTGCAGGTGTGCACGTGGCGCCTTCCTCGGGGAGGCGCTGATTACGCGTGGCAGCGTGCCCCAGCTGTGGTCAAAGTTTGGTTCAAGGTCCTCGTGTGACACGAGGTAGTCGAGGTTGGATCCTGCTCTCTCTCACTCTCTCTCTCTCTCCCCTCTTTATTCGATTTGAGGAGGAGGAGGAGGAGGAGGAGGAGGTGGAGGAGAAATATTGGGAGGAGGTCAGAAGTGGCAGATGAGTGGGAGGAGGAGAGGAGTACAAGAGGAGGAGGAGGAGGGAGGAGGAGGAGGAGGAGGAGGAGGAGGAGCAGGAGCAGGAGCAGGAGCAGGAGCAGGAGCAGGAGCAGGAGCAGGAGCAGGAGCAGGAGAGCAGGATAAGGAGGAGGACGAGGAGGAGGAGGCGGAGGAGGAGGAGGGGCAAGGGGCAATCAAGGTCTAGAATCCGCTGGGCAGACACTAGCCGATTAAAGAGAGGCGGCGATGGCCGCAAAGAGGGCCTGCACACAGTGGCAGGCTGTCAGGCGCCCGCGCTAAGGAGCAGCACGGGCGGCCAGGCTTGCAAAGGGGCGGAGCCTGGCGCATATGGGGGGCAGGTGGCTTCGGGTTCCGAGGAGAGCCGCAACGCAGAGACCTGCGGAGGACGCGCGAGCCACCCTCCCAGCGGCCTCTGGGCGCCACCCCGCCCAGCGGGACGGCGCCTAGCCACCCGTAGGAGCGTGGCTCGCGTCTATCGAATGTGGAGTCGCGGAACCACGCTTGTCCCGTTGAGGCTTGGCCCGAGCAAGGCCGAAGCAACGATCTGACATGCGGGGCCTCGATTGACGCTCTGGCTCCGCACCTTCGGCACACCAAGCGGGCCGCCGCGGCCTCCTCCACGTGTCCCAGGTACTCGAACGCAGGCGGGGGCTCTGTCGGGCCAGTGCCTTCCTCCGCCTCTCCCACCAGCTCACAGAACACAAGTGCATGGCGAATAGCCTCGCACCTCGCTCTCGGCAACGGGCCGAGAAAGAGGTTGATGATGATGCTGATGATGATGATGATGAGGAGGAGGAGGAGGAGGAGGAGGAGGA